TGGGTTTACTTTGTCGGCATTGCGTGGCTGACTTTTTGACCCTTTTTACACTGTGCCAACCGCGCCTGATGGATAGGCAAAAGGGCCGTGGAGATGCGACCGCGGCCTCGGCCCCGCACTCGTGTTTGCCAGTGTAGGCGCCTGCATGGGCCGCGGGCCTGTGTGGCCTGTGTGGCCGCCACACTGTGGAGGCCCGTGCTTGTGCGGCGCCCGGCCTGGCTGCCTGGTCGATGTGCACAGCAAATGGACTCCAAGCAAACAGCTGTGCAGTGCTGTGCGCGGTGCGCGGCACGCATTGCACCTGTGTCTCCGTGTGTCTCCCTCGCCTCGCGCGCCGCGTACCGACGGGTAGCCACGCGTCACGCGGCGCACGACTGCGCGGCTATCTGTCCGAACACGACACGTGATCCCGTCGATACACTGTCAGTTTCCCCGGCCTCTCCGCGCCGCACAGAAGACTCTGCACTAGCAGTGTGGCGATCGGAATCGGGGGTTCGGATGGCAGTAATTGGACTTGGGCGGTCCGCCGGTGTGGCCGAGGCCCTGCTTGGCCGTGCTGCGGTGCCTCGCGGCCCCGCGGCCGGCAGCTACACTGTGGTGTAGCGCGGCTGAAATCAATACAGGTGGAGCGGCCCGGAACAAGGGGGATGGATCGCCCTTCGTCCTTGGCCCTGCTTTCACTGCCCCGCCGCGCCGGCTCATTCCGCCTCGCTTGCACTCAAGGGCCGCTCCACGCGGGTGCGAGAGAGACAGCGCGGCCATCGCTGGGGCCCAGGGGGCCCTACCGGGGCTGCACTGGCTCGATTCGTCCATCCGCCTGGCTGCCTGCCTGGGTGGCTTCATTTTCCGGGCCGCGAAGTACGTGTCGTGTGAGCCGCCGTGCCGCCGCGCAGTCTGTCTCTCTCGCTCTCGGGGCGGGACCTAGGGGTGCGAGAGAGACGGCGCTGCCTGCTGGAGGCGGCCGAGGGCGTGACGCTGGCAGGGTGATGGATGAGGGCGCTGTGGTGTGCCGACACACGCGCCGACGGCATGGCGACCTCCCCGACGACGACGACGCCGAAGTGGAAGCCGAGGCGACGCGACGCGCTCGTGGCTGCGGCGGCTCAGCGGGCTGGAACGCCGTGGAGGTAGGCAGCCATGGAGTTCCCGCGCACGCGTGCAGGAGGGTTGCCTACGCGCCATCACCATTACCATTAAGGGCTGGCGGCCCGTCTCGTCGCGTCCCTGTCTGCGTGTATCCCCTCCCTCGCCCCGCCCCGCTTTATCACTTGTTTGCCTTCGTGTTGAAGGTTCAAGGGCGTGGGGTTCCCTTTTCCTGAGAGGAGTGGTGCTCCTCTCTGATGCCAACACTGATTCGTCCGGTGCCCGAGTTAACCTCTTCTCCTCTTTTCTGTTCCAGACCTTGGAGACGCGGTCCGACAGGGCGCTACAGATTCACCCCACGTAGGTGCGTATCGTCGTGTCGGCGTTGTGAGTGGGGGTCTCGTTGTCACAGACGGGCAGGGAGTCATCGGAGCTGCTTGCCCGTCGTCTGGGTGCAGCGTGGGGCTCGGGGTGGGGGCGGAGTGGGGGACCGGGGACCGGGACTGAGTCATCTTCTCTCTCCGCCGGGCGCCGGCAGCGCCGGCAGGTAGTACAGCTTGTTTTTCCCGGTCGTGGGTGCGAGACGGCCCGGCGGCGTGGCGAGCGCGCAGCGTAGTACGGCGGCACGCCGCAAGGCACGCCGCAAGGCACGCCGACACGCCGGTTCGGTGTTTTGCCGCGCGGCCGTTGACATGCCCGGCCGGCATGGCCCGGCACCGTGCACCGTGCACCGCGACCTCGTCGGGTCCGCGTCGCCGGGTCCGCGTCGCCGTGCCGCCGTCGCATCGCTCTCTTCCCAGTGGCACCTACCCGGTGGCACACACCTCGACGCCGCGAGCGCTGCAGTCGCACGGAACACGGAACTGACAGCCTGGTGCGCGCTGCGCCTCTCTGGGCTGCGCCACTCTGGGCTGCGCCACTGCCTGCACTCGCGGTGGCCGCTCGCTCGGCCCGCACGCCCGCTGCGTGCCTGCACTGTGCGATGCAGTGTGTGCATAATGCAGTGGGGACGTGAGGCGACAGCAGCGACTCCAGTCGGGAGGGTCACGACCACCATGGCTGGATCACGAGTGCACCACGATGACCATGGACAGACCATTGTGAGCCGCGGTGAAATTTGACCATCGACTGGCCGTCGTGACCCTGGATGCAGCACACTGGTTCCGAGAGTCGTTTCCGTCGCTCTGTCTCTCTCGCACTCGTGGGGCGTCCTGTGTGGGTGCGAGAGAGACAAAGCGACGAGAACGACTCTCGGACGGTCTACAGCATGACCATTTGGAGGGGGCGTGACCATGGCGCCAATCGCGCAGCATCACGCTCTTGGCGCCGGACTCGCGAGGCACGCCGTGCATGGGCGGGGCGGGGCGGGGCGGGGCGGGGCGGGGCGGGGCTCGCGGCTCGTCTGCTTGCGGCGATTGGCACGCGCGGGAAGGCAGAAGGAGCATCGGAAACCGGTAGCAGCTGGTATATGCCCGATAAGTTGGATGGTTGGTGTGCGGGCGGCGCGTGCCTGGGCGTGCCGGCGCGGTCCGCGGCCCGGGGCGGGGGCCCCTCGAGGTGCCCGCCTGCTGCACCGCCAGCGGGGCCCCGCCAGCCCCGCCACGCGCTGCCCGCCATCAAGGGCCCAGCCCTTAACGACGTCCCCCTCCACTCCGTGTTTGTTTGCCCCGGCGCGCCCTCGCGGCACTTAGCTGTTGGGTAGGCTGCCACACTGCTACCGCGCTACCGCTGCGTGCGGCCCGGACAATCACCTTGTTTTGATAAGGTTGACCCGCGCCTGGAATTTTTTTGCGAGCTTGGCATTCTCTGCGGCGCGGCCGATGCGGATGTGGCGGTGACTGGCGGTGACTCGACAGGGCTCGCCCGGCGCGCTCTGGTGCGTAATTTGGTTTGCCTGGCCCCGCCTGGCCCCACCCGGCCCTGCGCAGGTGGGTGACCCTGGAGGCCTGGAGGCTCGCCTGGAGGCCTGGAGGTTGACCTTGGGTCGGACGCCTCAGCCTGCCTCCGCGGCCCTCACTGTGAAGTGGAAGGTCGCGCCGGCTCGTGCGCCGACGTACGGTACGCCCCCGAACATAAACAAAAACAACGTTGGAGTCGAGGAGAAGCAGTCTCGATCTATGACTGTGGTGTTTAAGTCGCGGCGCACGCAGCCCTCCGCACACAGTTCTATTTACGGGCTTGGGGGCGGCGCTTTTATTTTGGTGTTCGCTCGCGTCGGCAACGCGTTGAGAGTCTCGGCCAGGCTCGGCCAGGCCCCCATTCCTGGAGGCGGAGCGGGCGCGCCGAAGGAGAGAGGAAGAGAGGAGTGTGTCGCCGTAAAGCTCGTCCCGAACGGGTGTCCCGAACGGTTACCAAACCGTCTCCGCTGAGGTTTATCTCGGGTCTCCCATCGCGCTGCGTCCGCGGTTCGCGCTGCTGCGTCGCGCCGCTCAGTTTATGAGTAAAAACGTCTTGTGTATCGTTCCTTCGCGCCGCGGAGGGGGGGGGGGCTGGGTTTGTGTGCTCAGCGTTGTGTGGTCAGCCGTTCGCACGGCGCGGCGTGGGGAAGTGGGGAACCTCGATCGGCTTAGGGGGTCATCCGTGAGTGGCTTCCGTGCGGACTGTCGAGGCATTCCACGGCGAGGTGCATGCCGACCGGAAGTGCATCAGTGGAGCACCTCGAAGTCGGCTGTCTCGCAACAGGTGGGCAGGCAGGCACCAGGACGCCGGCAAGGGGGAGGGGAAGGGAAGGCCTTCCCTGGAAGATTGTCTCTACGAGGAATGTGGTTTGGATCGGTTGTTGTGGCCCGAACGTCTGATAAGCTTGGCGGGGCGGGCGGGGCGGGGCGGGGCGGGGCGCGGTGGCAGCAGGTCTCATCGGGGCGCCGCGCGGGCGAGCGGCAAGGCGGCAAGGCGGACGCGGTACCGCCGCGGCGAGGCGTGCTCGCCGCTACGCGCTACGCTGCTCGGCGTGGCGGCCTGGCGGCCTGGCGCGGCCGGCAGTCGGTGTCGGTGCGTGTTGGTGGCCGCCTTGTGCTGCCTTGTGCTCGCTCGGTCGTACGCGGCGCGGCGACGCAGCGACGCAAGACGCGCGTGTGACGTACAGTCGGTGCAGCGCGGTGCAGTGCAGTGCAACTGGTGCGGCGCTCTGGCGCTCAGCACAGCGAGGTGCCGGGGAAGGTCACTGTGAAGACAGCCAAGTGCGCGGTGCAGTACGGCGGCCCGCCTTGCCGCCGAGCCAGTCCGCGCTCGGCGCCCACCAGAGAGGCCGTGCCTGTGACCGTGCCCGCGAGCCCCCGCCGGCGCACGGCGCCGCACGCTGGCGCCCAGGGTGGTCGCCGCAGGTCGCCGTCAACCGACTCCGAGGCCCGGCGCCCTGGCAGGGCCGTCCTCGCCTACGCCCGGGGCACAATGTCCATTCGGCGCAGAGTACGTCGCGCTGCCAAAGTGGAGAGCTTATCCGCGTGGAAGAGACGGCCTGCGTCGCTGCTCGGCCGTGCTCAGGCAGACGAGTGCCGGGTGCTGCCGGCTTGGCCGGGTGTGCGAGCAGCGCTAGCAGTCGCGAAGCTGTATGCCTCTTGAACTTGCGGCAAAAGGAAACGAGCTCCCTGTGTCCTGGGCATTCCCTGTCATGAGACGCAAGCTAGCAACACGGTGCCGGCAGCCGGCAACGCCTTGGCTTTTGCTGGGCACCTGGTCGTTTGCCGCCCCGCCCGCACGGGCACGGACACCGCGCACGGATTGCCAGTGTGCCCGTCCTCCGCCCCGGGGAGGGGATGCAATGCACCGGCCGGGTCCCGAACCGGGCGCGACGGGGCACTATGGGCGACCACGTGGTTTCCTACGGTCCGCCAGAGGCAGCCAAAGAGCTGGAAAGAGCCAAAGCGCACTGCGCGGCGGCCCTCGGCCCTCGTGCCTGCCGGGGCGGGGGGAGAGGAGGGGGCACCGGTGCGGCGCCCCCTCTGCTTGTTTACGCCGTGCCCGCCATGCCGCGAATGGACTGGAGGGGGCCGGGTAGGGGTTGGTGAGTTGATTGACTCGTCGACATAAACACACTGGAGGGATCAAAGTAATTTTTAGGGGGAAAGGAACCAGTCTCTTCCACTTAGTAATTGGTCATTCCATTGGGGAATGAGATGATTATGGATAAGCTCTTCTACTACTATCAGTCATTCAATATTAATCACGGAACTAGTAAATGGGATCAGTGTCCATTTGGTGTAGTTTGGACGGCCTTGCCACAAGTTTCCAGGTAATTGGAAGAAGCTAGCATCATTGTTTGTGTCCTGGGGTCAGGAAAGGTTTTTACCGAAGAATTTGTTTCTTGTTTCACACTTAAATGACCTTGCTCTGTTGATTGTTTCAGATTTGGGGAGGTAATGGGTAATAATGGATAATGAACAACCTCACCAGGAGCTGGTGAAGTGCGTGGTGGTTGGCGATACTGCTGTGGGTAAAACAAGACTCATTTGTGCCCGAGCTTGCAATAAGCAAGTGTCACTCTCCCAACTTCTCACCACGCATGTTCCAACTGTTTGGGCTATTGACCAATACCGCATTTACAAAGATGTAAGTTGTTTTCAGAGATGTCATTATTCATTCCATATATATGTAAATTATGTTTGCCAATTTTTTCTAACTATCTCATTTGTAATTTTTTTAAGGTCCTTGAGAGGTCATGGGAGGTGGTTGATGGTGTCAATGTATCCCTCCGCCTTTGGGACACCTTTGGGGATCATGAAAAAGATAGAAGATTTGCTTATGGCAGGTATGGCATAACTTGGTTCCAAAATTTGAATCACAGCATCACATTGCATGCACCCTGTGATTCTCATCTGACTGTTTCATCCCTTCTTAGGTCAGACGTGGTTCTGCTTTGCTTTTCTGTGACATCACCCGTGTCACTCAGAAATTGTAAAGCTATGTGGTATCCAGAAATCAGGAGATTCTGTCCCCAAACACCTGTCCTGTTAGTTGGCTGTAAGAATGATTTGCGATACATGTATCAAGATGAAGCATACCTCAGTATCTTTAGAGAAAATGGTTCATTTCTCAGGTAGTTGTTGTTTTTAAAATACTTTCAATTAATTTTTAACTTTACAAGAGAAATGTCTAATTGCTGAAACCCCATGTTTATTTTTTAGGGCTACAAGAAAAAGCGATTTAGTTATGCCTGACCAAGCAAGAGCCATAGCTCGTGAGCTTGGGGTACATTATTATGAAACAAGTGTTTTATCATATTATGGAGTGAATGAAGTGTTTGAGAATGCCATTCGGTCAGCTCTTATGGCTAGAAGACAGCAGAGGTTCTGGATGACAAACTTGAAAAAGGTGCAGAGGCCTCTTCTTCAGGTCGGTTTCATAGGCATAGCTTTAACTTTGCTTTTGTGTTACATGACTGACTCACTTTACCTTACTGAAACTTTTCCCTCTACAGGCCCCTTTCAAACCTCCAAAACCACCTGTACCAGAGATCCATATCTCACCCAGTAGCTATGATAACCATATGAGGGAAATGTGGATTCAGCAGGCACACACTGATGTAATATTTGTTGCTGGGTCTGTTGGCTTCACTGCACACCGGTTCATGTTGGCGTCGGCATCACCTCTTTTGCATCGAATCCTAATGACTGACTTTAGCAATGAACTTAACACGCGAAGTTCAAGTGAATCATCAATGGTAAATACAATATGTTTTCAAATAGGTTTCTTCTACCTGCATTCAAAAGAAATAAGTGCTGTAGATTAAAGCCAAATGTTTAAATTCTTTGTCTGTATCTTTTGTTTTAAGGTCAGTACATTTGGAGAAGCGACTCAAGGTGACTTTAATGATGATACAGAACATTTAATAAGAGTAGATACAGGAAAACCCTCAAGGTGGGCAATAGTTTTTCAGTTAATATTTATTGATTTTTAATTAGGAATGGAAATTATCTGAGTAAGTCTCATATTTTACGAAATGCTTCTTGTAGAGTATGGGAGCAGCTAAAACGGCGATCCAGCTGCCAGATTCTTACATGTGACAGCAATAGAAGATTAGATGTGTCAAGAGAAATGGACCATCCAGCTTTTTTATCCATTAGAGTGCAACAGGTACAATCTGCACCTGGACTAAGCTGAATTTCAATGCTTTTTCTAAACTGGTTTTATTGTAAGTTCTTAAGGTCTTACTCTTTCTCATTTTCTTTTTGAAAGTGTGAAGGCCTAGACCATCGAGGGAATCCGAGTTCATCACTTCAAACTGTCATCACTCTATCAAAGCTGATCACTCCACAAGCTATGAATCAAGTTCTTCAGTTTATGTACACAGGAACTATCGACAGCCAGTATTGTGAACTGCAGGTTTGTATTTTTTTGTGTCGAATTGGTTTGATATTTTTATGTATCCTTTTTCACTAACCAGTGGGCATATCATTACAAATTATATTGCACTATTCATTGCTCTATTCTTCTTTCAGACTGCTCCTATTGGACTGTTATTGGTAATTAATTCAAAGGCAAAATATTCACTTTCTTGCACTAGTTTTTCTGTATTGCATGCATTGCATAATTGCATGCAATTCTGTCTATTTTGGTTCACTGCAAATTTTTAAAAAAAATTCTGTTATTTTATCACTTACCTCAGTTTTTATGAAGTATTAATTAAGAGTAAATAAGAGTTAAATTGTATATCTGTGCATTTCATTTCTGAAGTCGTAATATTAAAAACTAGCTGAGCTTGAACAATGTCTTGCAAGTTTGTACTGAGTGTATTTGAGAGAATGGCTGTACATTATTATTTAATGCTTTGACAGGAAATTCGACAAGCTGCTGAGTTTTTGGAGTTATCAGACCTTCACCTTTTTGTGTCAAATGTCCATTCAAGAGAAGAGTTCCTGAATACTGAACTAATTCTGCATTATCGGAAGGTATGCATCAATGTTTATGTGGCATGATTTCCTGCGTATTCAAAATGCACTGGAAAACCAATACTCTTTTCCGCAGGACCTCAAAAAACGTTTTCAAGATCTGTGCTTGGGACATGGCCTATTCTCAGATGTGATATTTCAACTAGATGATGGCCTGTATCCTGTTCATCGAGCTCTCTTAATGTCAAGATGTGACATGTTTAAGGCCATGTTTTCTGGTGATTTTAGAGAAAGTAGTGCTAAAGTGGTAAGTTGCCATAATTTAACTAATAAACTTACCTCTGGAAAGTAAAATTTTATATGAATTTAATCTTTATTTACAGATCATGTTTCCTGGAGTGGCCCAAGATACCTTCATACAACTCTTAGTTTATCTTTACACTGATGACATCAGTGGCACGGTTTCTTACCTGAAGTGTTTAGAATTATTAGAAGTAGCCAACCGTTTGTGTCTCCAACGACTAATAACACTTATAGAACAGAAAGTGGTTGAACAGTTATCTGTCAGGTGTGGGACGGATGGTGATGTAGTCGAGCACTGTCTAAGGCTACTGGAGCCTTGCAAGGTAAAAGCATTTTCTCTATTGTGCACAAAGGCAGTCTTTTGTAAACTTAGTCTCAAATAATTTTTGTTCTTGTCTCTTTTAGTTACACAATGCTGATCAGTTGGCTGATTGGTGCATGAACCATCTGTGCACGAACTATAACAAGTTGTGTAAGAGATCTCCGAAATTGCTTCGTCAACTTCATCCAGAAAATCAAGAATACCTCAGTGAACACAGGTGGCCTCCAGTATGGTAAGCTTCTGTCCAAACTTAATTTTGTGACATCCTAGAATTAAAGGTACTTAACAACATCCTTGTTTAACCGCTCAGGTATCTTAAAGATTATGATTACTATGAAAAGTGTGCATCTGAAAGGGAGAAAGAAGAGAGGCCTCTTTTAAAACGGAGCAGTGCTGGCTGCCTCTGCTTCTCCTCCAAAGCGAGACGCAGTAGTGCTCACATGTCGAGCACAGTCGACAACTCTGCAGCCATCGCCACTGATGCCATAGATGTTGATATTGAAGTGATGGCCGAGGATGGCCCTGGCCCAGTCCCCGTCCCCGAGGCTTCTAATGCTATGGACATGTGACGGCGGCCTCGGCGGCCGTGCCGCAGTGCTGCGCTCTTGGTCGGCATTTCTGCCAGTGTGGGAATCATCACGCTGGCACTCTGTATAGTTTACATTTTTATCTAACAGCAAAGTGGCAATTTGTGATTTCTTTTTTGAAGACTTCATGAACTGACACTCATTTGTATATAAATATATTTTTTAACTGTGTGGAACACACAAACAACTGAATTTGTGGTGAAAGTTTTGCGACTGTATTTAGATGGATTTTCAGAATTACAATGAAAACGGAACTGAATGTAATTTTAAGAAGTAATATGATGGTTTCTATTATTCCAAATTGCTGGACAGATTTGTATGATTATTATTAAAAATAAATGCACTTTATCATTATAATAAATCATGCTTTTATGTCTTGCACTGCCATCGAGAAGTATTGCTGCAGGCTTGATAAATAAGTGAGCTGGTAAATGATTTTCCATGTGGGCTCCTCGTAAGTAATAAGTATCACATTCTAAGTTATCTTTCTCTAACTATCAGCTCCTCAACTTTTGCTGCTGATTTCTTACTTGCAAAATGATCTCATCAAGAACATTGTCTGTTTGTCAAATCGTTTGCAGTGCATAATGTCAAACTTTGTGCTCTCTTTTGATTTTTGACTTGTGCGACCATTGAATGAAGGTGTCCATGGTGTTACAAATGAAATAATGTACTTCACTCTTGTTTGATTCATGCAGTCATTTTTAAGATCAACTAGGGTTTACAATTCATACTCTCCCTAAATTTGTGGCTGTGCCATTGAACAAGGATTTTAATTAGCTTTGTTTTGTTTTTCATTGAATTAAACAAACATGAAACTTTTATGATGCATTCAATCAAAACAAACAGGAATCATGTGGATGGTATACTTGATATGGATTACTCAAGCTCCAACATCCATATCTACATGCCAGTAAATTTTGGTTTTAAGTGAATGAGTCCTGTTGCCAGAAATTCCTTCTGGAATAAATATTTGTCCTCTTGCCTTAAGAACTGTGTTTTTCTAAGGGACTTTTGTATTTTCCAAGCAATAATGGATCTTTTGAATCAATTGCACCCAGGATTTTTACTGTCCATGACAAGATCCATAACGGATGTAATATTTTTCCAGGGATTTTGCAAGCCATTAAGTCCTTCCAGGAACAGGTCTGAGCACAAGCTTAGAAACCTAAGTGACCTCAAATACATATTTGTTTTGTGTTAGATTCCCCCACTTTTTTCATTTAATAATATTGTGAGTCTGCTGTTTCATATTTAATATCGGTTACACGTTTGTTCAATTTTGTAGTCACACCTATTTTATCTTAAAAGTTTACGTGGTGTGGTGACTATATAATCTTCTTTTGAGTGAGAAGGATTTATTGTCTGTGATTCTATTTCATGCCCTCTGGGCCAATTTAGTGCAAACTTTTAAACATCAAATTATGCATTGTGTATATGTCTATGGTAATTACTTTCCCAGTAATTTAATTTAGGTTAGAACATTGATAGTACAAATGAATCACAACAAAATGTTTTTAATGTTTACAGTTTGTATTTGCCATGCGGAATCTTAGAAAAAATTAATTGAATAAAATTTAGTAAGGGTTTAAAACTTTTTAGTCATATCAATGTCTAATATAGTGGATCCTGCTTACATGTTCCATATTACTTAGGACAAAATAACAGATTTCACAAAGTTATACTAGAAACACCAGTACCTTTCCCTTAAGCATTGTAATTTCATGGAAGTTGTATTTGTTGTATGCGGGTTCCACTGTAC